ATACTGATTAAAAGTATGTATACTAATAAATGTAACTAGTAATTTAATACTGTAACGGCGTTACTTTTGACAGTAGCTAATACTGTAACATGTTACTTTTGAATCTAGCTAATACTGTAACGAAGCTACTTTTGACAGTAACTAATACTGTAACGTCGTTACTTTTGACAGTAACTAATACTGTAACGTCGTTACTTTTGACAGTAGCTAATACTGTAATGGCGTTACTTTTGACAGTAGCTAATACTGTAACGGCGTTACTTTTGACAGCAACTAATACTGTAACGGCATTACTTTTGACCGTAACTAATTCTGTAACGCGTTACTTTTGACAGTAACTAATACTGTAACGCGTTACTTTTGACAGTAGCTAATACTGTAACGGCATTACTTTTGACAGTAGCTAATACTGTAACATGTTACTTTTGAATCTAGCTAATACTGTAACGAAGCTACTTTTGACAGTAACTAATACTGTAACGTCGTTACTTTTGACAGTAACTAATACTGTAACGTCGTTACTTTTGACAGTAACTAATACTGTAACGGCATTACTTTTGACAGTAGTTAATACTGTAACGTCGTTACTTTTGACAGTAGCTAATACTGTAACGTCGTTACTTTTGACAGTAGCTAATACTGTAACGTCGTTACTTTTGACAGTAGCTAATACTGTAATGGCGTTACTTTTGACAGTAGCTAATACTGTAACGAAGCTACTTTTGACAGTAACTAATACTGTAACGGCATTACTTTTGACAGTAGTTAATACTGTAACGTGTTACTTTTGACAGCAACTAATACTGTAACGGCATTACTTTTGACCGTAACTAATTCTGTAACGCGTTACTTTTGACAGTAACTAATACTGTAACGCGTTACTTTTGACAGTAGCTAATACTGTAACGGCATTACTTTTGACAGTAGCTAATACTGTAACATGTTACTTTTGAATCTAGCTAATACTGTAACGAAGCTACTTTTGACAGTAACTAATACTGTAACGTCGTTACTTTTGACAGTAACTAATACTGTAACGTCGTTACTTTTGACAGTAGCTAATACTGTAATGGCGTTACTTTTGACAGTAGCTAATACTGTAACGTCGTTACTTTTGACAGTAGCTAATACTGTAACGTCGTTACTTTTGACAGTAGCTAATACTGTAATGGCGTTACTTTTGACAGTAGCTAATACTGTAACGAAGCTACTTTTGACAGTAACTAATACTGTAACGGCATTACTTTTGACAGTAGTTAATACTGTAACGTCGTTACTTTTGACAGTAGCTAATACTGTAACGTCGTTACTTTTGACAGTAGCTAATACTGTAACGTCGTTACTTTTGACAGTAGCTAATACTGTAATGGCGTTACTTTTGACAGTAGCTAATACTGTAACGAAGCTACTTTTGACAGTAACTAATACTGTAACGGCATTACTTTTGACAGTAGTTAATACTGTAACGTTGTTACTTTTGACAGTAGCTAATACTGTAACGTGTTACTTTTGACTCTAGCTAATACTGTAAAGAAGCTACTTTTGACAGTAACTAATACTGTAACGTTGTTACTTTTGACAGTAACTAATACTGTAACCTTGTTACTTTTGACAGTAGCTAATACTGTAACGTGTTACTTTTGACTCTAGCTAATACTGTAAAGAAGCTACTTTTGACAGTAACTAATACTGTAACGGCGTTACTTTTACTAGTAACTAATACTGTAACAGCGTTACTTTTGACAGTAACTAATACTGTAGCGCCATTACTTTTGACAGTAGCTAATACTGTAACGAAGCTACTTTTGACAGTAACTAATACTGTAACGGCGTTACTTTTTACTAGTAACTAATACTGTAACAGCGTTACTTTTGACAGTAACTAATACTGTAACGTTGTTACTTTTGACAGTAGCTAATACTGTAACGTTGTTACTTTTGACAGTAACTAATACTGTAACGTTGTTACTTTTGACAGTAACTAATACTGTAACGAAGCTACTTTTGACAGTAACTAATACTGTAACGGCGTTACTTTTACTAGTAACTAATACTGTAACAGCGTTACTTTTGACAGTAGCTAATACTGTAAAGAAGCTACTTTTGACAGTAACTAATACTGTAACGGCGTTACTTTTGACAGTTACTAATACTGTAACGGCGTTACTTTTGACAGTAGCTAATACTGTAACGAAGCTACTTTTGACAGTAACTAATACTGTAACGTTGTTACTTTTGACAGTAGCTAATACTGTAACGAAGCTACTTTTGACAGTAACTAATACTGTAACGGCGTTACTTTTACTAGTAACTAATACTGTAACAGCGTTACTTTTGACAGTAGCTAATACTGTAACGAAGCTACTTTTGACAGTAACTAATACTGTAACGTCGTTACTTTTGACAGTAACTAATTCTGTAACAGCATTACTTTTGACAGTAACTAATTCTGTAATGTCGTTACTTTTGACAGTAGCTAATACTATAACGTCGTTATTTTGACAGTAGCTAATACTGTAACGGCGTTACTTTTGACAGTAACTAATTCTGTAACGGCATTACTTTTGACAGTAACTAATACTGTAACGGCGTTACTTTTGACAGTAACTAATTCTGTAACGGCATTACTTTTGACAGTTACTAATACTGTAGCGCCATTACTTTTGACAGTAGCTAATACTGTAACGAAGCTACTTTTGACAGTAACTAATACTGTAACGGCGTTACTTTTACTAGTAACTAATACTGTAACAGCGTTACTTTTGACAGTAGCTAATACTGTAAAGAAGCTACTTTTGACAGTAACTAATACTGTAACGGCGTTACTTTTGACAGTTACTAATACTGTAACGGCGTTACTTTTGACAGTAGCTAATACTGTAACGAAGCTACTTTTGACAGTAACTAATACTGTAACGTTGTTACTTTTGACAGTAGCTAATACTGTAACGAAGCTACTTTTGACAGTAACTAATACTGTAACGGCGTTACTTTTACTAGTAACTAATACTGTAACAGCATTACTTTTGACAGTAGCTAATACTGTAACGAAGTTACTTTTGACAGTAACTAATACTGTACCAGCATTACTTTTGACAGTAGCTAATACTGTAACGAAGTTACTTTTGACAGTAACTAATACTGTACCAGCATTACTTTTGACAGTAGCTAATACTGTAACGATGTTACTTTTACTAGTAACTAATACTGTAACAGAGTTACTTTTGACACTTTTTTCAGAAGAAAGAAAGCTGTTATTTATGATTTCTGATTGACCTGCTGATTAGCCGCCAGACTCTGAGCATGCTCTTCTCCCTTATTGGGTGTTAGATCATGCTCACCTCTCCACGATAATGTTTCATGCAGAGTATATATTTTGAATTCCCAGAGATGGGTTGCGGCTGGAAGGGCATCTGCTGCTTAAAAACTTGCTGGATAAGTAGGCGGTTCATTCCGCTGTGGCGACACCGGAATAATAAAGGGACTAAGCCGACAAGAAAATGAAATGAAATTAATACATTTTGAAAAAGGGGAAAAACAATAAATCGTTGTATGAATGCTGTAATGTTTAAATAATTTACCATTTAAAAAGTGTTAAAGACATGTAAACATCAGAAAGAACGCAGCATCTCATTTCCTATAAGACGCGTTCTGTTCTCGTGGTGTCCCGAGTTCATTCTTCAGAGGACACCTGGCAAGACCGGTCTCCACAAGAAAGCAAGTCCATTTTCTGTGTTCTTGGAATTAAGAAACAGCCAGTGTGCAAACCAGCAAGGACAAGAGGCAAATGAACACAATATAAAGTTATATTAAATATATAAATTAGAGAACACAAGGAACAGGTGGACAAGATCAGACAAACAAGGACTAAACAAGATGGAGAGGCACTAGAGGTGACAGCGCCGGATCCTGACACCTCTTATAAAGACATTAGTGTCAACACTTTTGTGTCTCCACAATGTTTCTGTAAAGTTTCAGCTCAAAACACCCATCCAATTATTTGTTATACCTTTTAAAATGCTAGGATTTTGTGCTTTCAACACCATGTAGCTGTTTCTGTGGCCGGTGTCTTTAATGCTGGTTCTCCCCGCCCCCCGTGCCTGTCAGAGTGGGCCTCAATCTTCGCAGCGACATAACAGACATGAAGCAGATCTTAAATAACATTTATAAGAAATAATACAGTAACTTTCATAACTAGTCACTCTCAAAGTTCAGGCGTATACACACACACACACATAGTGCATATGTTCATCTTTGCACTGTTATTGCACAGCAAATGAGACAGGATACAGGTTAATTTCCACTGCTGTATGGATATTTGTTATGTTACTGTACAAAATAAACCTGATTTAACGTCCACATCTTCCTTTATAAATGTACTAACCCTCAGCTGTGGCGATAAAGTAAAGCTGAAGTAAATCGCTGTAATTAATTACACACATGCTCTGATTTAAAGCATTTTTTACTGGTCAAACTCACTCTAGATCACATTTTAATAACAGAACAATTCACTGTTAATCAGAAGTAAAATAAAAACAGGCTATTCCAGAGTGAATATTTCTCTAATATTGAAGAATCAGAGTCTGAAACTGGGGAAATGACACGTTATCTGGCAATTAGTAGGAGAGCACCCACACAGTCTGGACTAACTTTAAGTCGACTGATCTGATCTAACAGACATGAATTACTCTTATAAACTCCTCATGGGGCAGGAAGGGCTTGACTTCAGCTGACAGACTGAAAACCTCCTCCGTATTAGTATGTTACTCTACAGTGTTGACTGTTTGTCAACAGTGCGAATCACACGGCAGCAGCTCGCTGCATTTCGGCATGTAGACATGATCAGATGATCTGCAGCAGAATGAGGATGAAAGGGGATTTACGAGACTTTAAATGTGGCATGGTTGCTGCTGCCAGATAGACTGGTGAGTATTTCAGAAACCGCTGATCTACTGGGATTTTCACGCACAACCATTTTGACAAAAGAAAAGTCTCTCTAATTTTAGGTATAATTAAATGAACTTTTATTGAAAGCTTTTTCCTGACATGATTTGACTGGTTTAGAGAACTCTGGAGTGTTGAATATTTGTGAAACAGTATTGAAGATGTCACTCGGTGTCCATCACGTGCACAGACTCGTCCACAACATCCAGAGTCAGAGGAGTCACGGTCTTACTGAGCACAGCAGTGGTGCCCGGCTTATACCTGTACGTACCGCCCCTGCACACAAACAAACAAAGGGAGAATTAACAAGACATGTCTGCCTCTTCATATAAGAGTTTTCAGATATTTGGCCTCGAAACAAGACACGAAATCAAGGTAAGAAGAGCACTGATCTGCAGGGTGAGGACTGACATCACCAGATCGCACTACAGAATATTACGTTTACACACAAACCGCATGCTGGAGGAGTTTGCTTTGCGGCAGACTCACTGAAGCATGTGTTACACTGACTAGCATAACTAGCTGAACACAGTCCCAGCCAAGCAGAGGAGAAAGCCTTTAGCGATAGCCAGATTTCCAACATCACATGTAGCCGTTTGCTTACAGGGACAGCAATGGTAAAACGTTACTGATGTGCATTAATGTTATATATTACAGAGCATATCAGCTATATGGGGACATATTGGATTGGTGCAGCTAAGCCACAGCACACGCAACAACTTCCAGAGATCTTCCAGAGTTAAATCAGTTTGATAAGAGGCGCACAACATTATTTTTATGCAGCATGTTTTTCTGTGGGAATGTAAGTGGTTTGCTGATATCCTTAAATTGAGCTAATCTTATATTACGCTTCTGACTGTGGGACTCTTATTTTGCTAACTGAAAGGAAGCGGAAGCTGCAAAATGCAGAAAAAAAATGCTCGCAGTTTCTATAGAAACAGAATATTAAATGAGTAAACAGTGGGCATGGCTTGTTTTTTCTACTGCGAGCTGATTGGCTGTAGTAAAGTAGGCGTGTCTTTAAGATAGATGAGGTTTGTGGAGAGTTATTACAGCCGAACAGACTCCTCCTCCTCCTCCTCAATGTTGCTGTTTGAGATCAAAACTGACAGCTGGAGGGGCGTGGCCGCAAGGGTGTTAGCCCCGCCCACTAACTCAGACCTAATCTGAGGATAAAACTGAAAGCAAGCAGGAAGTGCATTTGCAGATGCTCAGCACAAAGCTAGCCGTGCGAGCGGACGACATCATTTTGATTGAGTTTGTGGTTCGAGTTGTGTTGCTCGGAAATGATCGAGGACTCTCACCTCTGGTTTTTGTGCACGGGCTGGTCGTACGTCCTCAGGTAGTCCACCTTTTTGTCGGTGATCACGCACAGGTCTACGTTACTGCCGGAGCCCAGGTCGCAGAAGATGCCGGCAGTGATGGCGTCCCGCACCAGCTGCTTCGCCTCCTCCAGCTGCAGATCATCACGGAGACGACACACCATTAACAACAACACAGGCAATGGAGGAGGGCGGGGTCTACAAATACCCTGCTGAAAAATCCAGCTTACACCAGCCTAGGATGGCTGGCTGGTTTTTAGCTGGTCTTCCACCAGCTATGTCCAGCTTAAACCAGCTTGACCAGCCAAAACCAGCTATGTCCAGCTTAAACCAGCTTGACCAGCCAAAACCAGCTATGTCCAGCTTAAACCAGCTTGACCAGCCAAAACCAGCTATGTCCAGCTTAAACCAGGCTGGGCAAGTTGGTTTTAGCTGGTCATTTTTCAGCCTGGACAGCTACGACCAGGCTGGAAATGGCCAAAACCCCTCTAAAACCAGCCTGGTCAACCAGCTAAAACCATCCTAGGCAGGTTTAAGCTGGATTTTTCAGCAGGGTGGAGAATTAATAAACAAAATAGCATGATCTAAATCACGTCTTTGTTTATGTAGTTATAATAATGAACAGTGGTTATGCAGCATTTATTCATCATCATTAGCGGCAGACAGAATCTGCAGACATTATTAATTTGACCAAACACATTTAGTTTGTTGAGGTTATACACTATAAAGTGTAAAAAACTACAGTAATTTCCACTGCGCTCGCATTTGAACTCTTTCAGAGCAGAATTTAGTGAAAGATCTGCAGATTTATGTGGGAGTTTAGTTACTAAAACACTTCAAACATGGAGTTTACACTTCAGGATCCACTTATTTGCTACACATATTCATATATAATTCAGTTTTATATTGATTTCAGTCAGATTATTGACTAATATGCAGATGTGTATATGATTTATGTACAGGTTTGGTTTGTAAAGTCATATTTATAACAAATGTACACACTTTTACATGAGTAGATATTAATAAATGACTCGATGATGGGCTGAAAATGCTTGCTAACATGAGTTAATTATCATGAACTAACAATGACTGAATTTCCTTTCATAAAGCTGACTGATGTCAACAAATGTCACCAAATAAACACCACCGTAAACAACAGTCCAGCATATAATTGAATACACAAGTGTTCTGAAGGCTGTTCTTTTACAGGTTATACATCATATTTTGCTTATTTTTATTAAATAGTTACATAGAATGCAGAATATATTTAAATGTCTTGGTTTTATGTATTATATATCTATATATCTTTATCTATATATATATATATATATATATATATATATATATGAGCAATATCACACGAGTAGCAGTGCGTTATGGCTGTATATCGGCACTGGTGGGAGGCGTGCGTGCAGCTGAGTGCCCCCACCAGTGCCGATATACAGCCATAACGCACTGCTACTCGTGTGATATTGCGATAATTGTGTATATAAGAACAAAATCAAACATGGAGAGTCTCAAAAACCCTTTTGCATGAGGAACTACTTTCTTCCGCGTTGGATTCAAATCATAAGTTGACTGTTAAACAGCTGAGCAAGCATCTTTTACACCAGATCTGTAGTGTCTGCTTTCTGCTGGCTGTATGTGGGCGGAGTAATACACAAAAGGTAAAGAGGCTGTACGGGTGCTCATATTACTGAAATATAGCACAGCTATCAGCCAATCCCTGCTGAAAAATCCAGCTTAAACCAGCCTAGGCTGGTTGGCTGGTTTTAGCTGGTCGACCAGGCTGGTTTTAGAGGGGTTTTGGTCACTTCCAAGCTGGACTTAGCTGGTCAGTCTGGGAGATGACCAGCTAAAACCAGCTTGACCAGCCTAGCCAAGCTGGGAATCCAGCCAAAACCAGCTATATCCAGCTTAAACCAGGCTGGTCAAGCTGGTTTTAGCTGGATTTGGCTGGTCATTTTCCAGCCTGACTAGCTAAGACCAGGCTGGAAATGGCTGGAAACCAGCCTGGAAATGGCCAAAACCCCTCTAAAACCAGCCTGGTCAACCAGCTAAAACCAGCCTAGGCTGGTTTAAGCTGGATTTTTCAGCAGGGATCAGATTCAAGAACCAGGCAGAACTGTTATATAACTGTTATATATATATATACACACACACACACACACATGTATATATATATATTAAAAGCAAACTTTTATTTTGAATGCGATTACTGAGGATTAATCATTTGACAGCAGTCATATATTGTATTCTCTCCTCTGCATTAGCTTTATTCACCATCTACAGCTTTATATACTTTATATCTGGTCTTATTTTGCACCGCTATAACCTCTATTCCTATATCTGAACTGTTCTGTGTTTTTATTTCTTCTTATAGTCCATAATTTAGATTCTTATTGATATTATTTTAGCTTTTTAAAGTTGCAGGCAGTCATATACGCATCTTGCACTGTGTGTGTGTATGACTGATAACATGTTCATAGTGTTGTATAGATTCCATCACTACACATTACCGAGACTCAGATGTAATTAAGTCGTATTTTCCTCAGGCATTGCTTGAGTACGTGTTTAATGCTGTGTCTCTAATCCCTCACAACACACAAACCCTACTTTAATAACAACAGTGATGCTAATTAGCAGTTTATTGAGCTAAAAAGCTTAGTTAATAGCTAAAATTGTACTTAAGACGGTGTAATAAATGAATAGATCTCAGATCTAGAGTCTGACCTCCATGTTGGGCTTGTAACGGTCTTCAAACACAGAAATGGCCGACGCTGCTCCAGAGCCTGAAACGTGCACAGGATTGAAGCCACATTGTGAAGATGAATATTCTGCTCTTAATGTGTTTAATCATAGTATAATAATGATAACGGCCGTACCCATAGTGAGGAAGGGAAGTTTGTCATAGGAGCCGTGAGGGTAGACACTGTAGAGCTGCGCTCCGTTCACATCCACACCTCCCACGATCAGAGAAGAGCCAATGTGACCCTGATACCTACAACAGCAAGAGGAGACGACGTAACGAGATGCCCATGTCATATAATCCTCCTAGACTACAACATTTACAGGCTCCTTCACCTGAACAGCATCTGTTTGAGCTGTCGGGTCACCATGGCGACAAGCGGTGGTCGTCCTGTGCTGAGCGAGTGCAGCTCCACGTTGGATGACATCATCTGTGTGGTGACCTCAGCATCGGCCGCCACTCCGGCTCCGCAACAGCTGGAGAGAAGAGACAGAACACATGAGAACAGGCCATATCACACGCTTCAGACTGGGTCAGAGGTCATGCTATACACTACTGGCTTATTACCTGCATATTATTATGATATGAACTGTTCATTAACTGTTCACTAGTCCGACCCAATGCCTAAACACAACTACTACCTTACTAACCGTTAACAAACAGATAAGTAATAAGCTAGCTGTGTTAGTTAGTTAGTGGCTTGTTAATACTGTGAATTGTGACGGTTACATCAACATTATTTTTTTGGAGTAATATTTAGACTACTATAATGGTGATCTGGCAACCGAGCAATACTTAGACTGCTATGATGGTGATCTGGCAACCGAGCAATGTTTAGACTGCAAAGATGGTGATCTGGCAACCAAGCAATGTTTAGATCGCTATGATGGTGATCTGGCAACCGAGAAATGTTTAGACTGCTATGATGGTGATCTGGCAACCAAGCAATGTTTAGATTGCTATGATGGTGATCTGGCAACCGAACAATACTTAGACTGCTATGATGGTGATCTGGCAACCGAGCAATAATTAGACTGCTATGATGGTGATCTGGCAACCGAGCAATAATTAGACTGCTATGATGGTGATCTGGCAACCGAGCAATGTTTAGACTGCTATGATGGCAATCTGGCAACCGAGCAATGTTTAGACTGCTATGATGGTGATCTGGCAACCAAGCTATATTTAGAGTGCTATGATGGCATTCTGGCAACCGAGCAATGTTTAGACTGCTATGATGATGATCTGGCAACCGAGCAATGTTTAAACTGCTATGATGGTGATCTGGCAACCGAGCAATGTTTAGACTGTTATGATGGTGATCTGGCAACCGAGCAATGTTTAGACTGCTATGATGGTGATCTGGCAACAGAGATATATTTAGACTGCTGTAATGGTGATCTGGCAACTGAGCAATGTTTAGACTGCTATGATGGTGATCTGGCAACCGAGCAATGTTTAGACTGCTATGATGGTGATCTGGCAACTGAGCAATGTTTAGACTGCTATGATGGTGATCTGGCAACCGAGCAATGTTTAGACTGCTTTGATGGTGATCTGGCAACCGAGCAATGTTTAGACTGCTATGATGGTGATCTGGCAACCGAGCAATGTTTAGACTGCTATGATGGTGATCTGGCAACCGAGCTATATTTAGAGTGCTATGATGGCGATCTGGCAACCGAGGAATGTTTAGACTGCTATGATGATGATCTGGCAACCGAGCAATGTTTAGACTGCTATGATGGTGATCTGGCAACCGAGCAATGTTTAGACTGCTATGATGGTGATCTGGCAACCGAGCAATAATTAAACTGCTATGATGGTGATCTGGCAACCGAGCAATGTTTAGACTACTATGATGGTGATCTGGCAACCGAGCAATGTTTAGACTGCTATGATGGTGATCTGGCAACCGAGCTATATTTAGAGTGCTATGATGGCGATTTGGCAACCGAGGAATGTTTAGACTGCTATGATGATGATCTGGCAACCGAGCAATGTTTAGACTGCTATGATGGTGATCTGGCAACCGAGCAATGTTTAGACTGTTATGATGGTGATCTGGCAACCGAGCAATGTTTAGACTGCTATAATGGTGATCTGGCAACAGAGATATATTTAGACTGCTGTAATGGTGATCTGGCAACCGAGCAATGTTTAGACTGCTATAATGGTGATCTGGCAACAGAGATATATTTAGACTGCTGTAATGATGATCTGGCAACTGAGCAATGTTTAGACTGCTATGATGGTGATCTGGCAACCGAGCAATTTTTAGACTGCTATGATGGTGATCTGGCAACCGAGCAATGTTTAGATCGCTATGATGGTGATCTGGCAACCGAGCAATGTTTAGATCGCTATGATGGTGATCTGGCAACCGAGCAATGTTTAGAATGCTATGATGGTGATCTGGCAACTGAGCAATGTTTAGACTGCTATGATGGTAATCTGGCAACCGAGCAATGTTTGGACTGCTATGATGGTGATCTGGCAACCGAGCAATGTTTGGACTGCTATGATGGTGATCTGGCAACCAAGCAATACTTAAGACTGCTATGATGGTGATCTGGTAACCGAGCAATGTTTAGACTGCAATGATGGTGATCTGGCAACCAAGCAATGGTTAGACTGCAATGATAGTGATCTGGCAACCAAGCAATGTCTGGACTGCTATGATGGTGATCAGGCAACTGAGCAATGTTTAGACTGCTTTGATGGTGATCTGGCAACCGAGCAATACTTAGACTGCTATGATGGTGATCTGGCAACCGAGCAATGTTTATACTGCTATGAAGGCGATCTGGCAACCGAGCAATGTTTAGACTGCTATGATGGTGATCTGGCAACCGAGCAATGTTTAGACTGCTATGATGGTGATCTGGCAACCAAGCAATGTTTAGACTGCTATGATGGTGATCTGGCAACCGAGCAATGTTTAGACTGTTATGATGGTGATCTGGCAACCGAGCAATGTTTAGACTGCTTTGATGGTGATCTGGCAACAGAGTTATATTTAGACTGCTGTAATGGTGATCTGGCAACCGAGCACCTCACTCACTAGATATTGGGAGCGATGTAGTGGATCTTCATGCAGTTTTTATCAGCCACCACCATATCGTCTGTAGCTCGCGTGTCTGCACCTAAAATCACTCCGTCCTGGAAGAAAACAATCCAAAACAAATATTGCTTAAGGGGGGCTAATAATATTGACCCTAAAATGGCCACAAAAATAGGGCGGAAATCAAACAAACAAGACTGAAACACTGGTGAATCTGTTACATATCATTTGGGAAATACTTGATGATACATGCGGGAATGTAATGCCCTACTTTGAACACCAGGCCGGCGATGGTGGTGCCCGTCTTCCTGGCGTTAGGTGCGCTGTAGCCTTTCTCCGACAGGTTTGCCTCCAGCACTGCATTTCTGTGAACGACTGAATAAATTAATACATGTAATACACACACGCCATTAATAAAACACCAGTGATTGTGGGAAATGTAGTTTGTAATGAGCTAAATTCATCATTTCTCATCCACACACACACGTGTGTATTGTTGTGTTTTCGTCTGTGTTACAAGGTAGTGTCGATGTTTGTACCTCATGCACACTGTATATCTGCTTTGTGTCTACTTTGCTTTCAGGATATAATCGATAAATGATGTTGTTTTTCTTATTCGTTTACACGTGTAAAATGTGAATAAAAGTCTCACTGTTAAACTGCAGAGTTGAACTTCCAACATTAAGAGTGGACAGAGCAGAGATCAACGTCCCACAATGCAACTCACCACCACCAATAAACACAAAATCCAGAAACTGTTCATTAACAGATATCGTTAACAGTGTGAATATAATAAAACACACGCTATTATGGTTAAACATCTCCTTTAAGATGTTGTATATGAATATGAATACTAGAGGACTCTTTATTTATTATACGTTTGTGCTTTAAAATATCCACCTCAGTGTGTTTTAATGATTCATTTTCATATGAAAACCAAAAGCAGGCCGTATAACACATTTAAGTTTATTTGAATGCTTAATAAAACTTGCCTATTGTTGTTACTCATCAATGTTCTTATTCACTTCATTACAATATAATCAAACACAATAGTGAAGCTCTTTATTATTAATATTGTGATATTTAATCTTTCATTACTCATACTTTGACTTGGATAAGAAATGACGCTGCCATTTTCAGTTTTAAACAAGAGTGAGTGAGATGTGTGATGGATGCTCTAACATACTAAAAGTACACAAGAACAACTTTTCCCAAACATATAGCTATGTAGTTTTCTTAATATTACATATTTCCTGCATATTTTAATATATAGTACGCTTAATCGTACAAGTAGTTATTAAACTGTATAATTCTAAACTTTAAATACGTTTTATAAATATTTCTAATCACGTTATCTAGATGTCAATAATTTAATAGTAGCCTTATAAACTATAGTAAGCAATTAGACAACAGAAAACATGTTTGGATTAAAAGCCCGCATGCTAGCAGATGCTAATCCAACACAAACTAGCGCTTAAAAAATGACTAAAATTCAGAATTTAAACTTCATAATTAAACACAAAATGACTGGAAATGTCTAAATACATATTCATTACACAGAATAAAACGTCAACTTTAGCTCGTCTGGTCACGGGCCAGTCGGTGTGTGCATGCTAGCGCTTAGCACTCATTGTTTTATACAGCCTAAAATGTAGTTTGATAACTTAGCTTTACTCCTGCGGACACAGATTGTGCCTCAGTCTGTCTCACCTGCGTGTGTTCTCGAAGGAGAATCCTCCAGTCAGTGTTTTAGTCGATGTGTTGAGCATCTTTCACCTGCACACAAACACACACACTGTACGATAATCTAAATTAGCTTCAACAATTAGCCTTTCTCTCAGCGGCGTCAGCGTTTATAACGCCTGAAACTGCGCTTTCACTTTCACTTCTGAGCTTCACCACAGTGGATCAGTTACTGTGATGCTCTGTGTGCACAAAGCCTGCTCTCCTCTCTCTTTTGGTTGAGCTATCTCTTATGTAATTGTATTTACCGTGAAAAAAGCGGTAAAAACATTACACCTATTTGATTAAATAATTAATCTTTTATTATCATCTATTATATACTTAAATAAATCATATGTCTGACAAAATACATGATTTAATTATTATTAGAGCAATGTGGTTATATTAATGCCACACATTACAATTAGGTTTCGTTAGTTATGTTAGCTAATGCAGCTATTTACTAACATTAACTGTTCTGTTCATTGTTTTACAGTATTTTTTAATCTTTGTTCATGAAAATAAAGTTGTTCGCTGTTAGTTCTGATCAAAGTTAGCATGGACAACTGTGAACTTTAATAATGCATTAGTAAATGTTGAACCATGGTTAATAAGTGATGTACATAAATGTTTATTATGTTAATAAATACATTAACTAATGAAAGCTTGTTGTAAATACAGTTCAATTATTTACATTAAAGTTGGTCAAGAGGATCTGCTGCAGTTCAGAGCGAGCATCAGAATGGCGAAGAAAGGGGATTTAAGAGACTCTGAGCGTGGCATGGTTGTTGCTGCCAGACGGGCTGCTCTGAGTATTTCAGAAACTGCTGATCTACTGGGACTTTCACGCACAACCATCTCTAGGGTTTACAGAGAATGCTCTGACAAAGAGGAAATATCCAGTGAGCGGCAGTTCTGTGGGCACAAATGATGCCAGAGGAGAATGGCCAGACTGATACGCACAACACATCCAACCTTGGGACAGATGGGCTACAGCAGCAGAAGAGCACACCGGGTGCCGCTCCTGTCAGCTAAGAACAGGAAACTGAGGCGACAATTCACACAGACTCACCAAAACTGCACTCAAGTTCACTACGGCCTCCACAGTCACCAGATCTCAATGCAATAGAGCAGCTTTGGGATGTGGTGGAACGGGAGATTGGCATCATGGATGTGCAGCCGACAAATCTGCAGCAACT